ATATATAATTATATATATATATATATATATATATATATATATATATATATATATATATATATATATATATATATATATATATATATATATATATATATATATAAAACAAACTGCTGTTACATTTTCTGTTATTTTACAAACTTTCTACATATTAATTATACATTCAATTATTTCAAACTACTAAAATGTCAATTAAAGTGACTTTGTTAAACTGTAAAGTTGATTTTTTACCATCAAAAATCGACAGAGCTGAGATCAACATCCATAATATAATAATGAAAAAAGCTGATGATTAAAAGTAAAACAATTTTTTGTTTTTTTACAGTGTATTTGGGTCTTATAAGTGCTTGATTGTATATGTGGCAATGGAAGTGACTGGTTGCCTGAATTCATTAAATTGGAGGGGTGTCCCAAAACATTTGGCAATATAGTAATTATTTACTCATACAACCTTTAATTATATGTAGATTATTAAAATGATTAAGGCACTGTGGGTGAAATTCTCATGTGCACCTAGATCTCCAGATGCTGGTGTTTCTACTGATTCTACCATAAATTGAGTTCTCAGCTAAGTGTTCATTACCTCATTGGGTGATCGTCTGCATTTATATGAGAGATATCAGATCAAATCTACCATTTATACTCTGGGAAATGTAAATTATCTATATTTAAATCCTGCCCATAGAGTTTGTTTTCTCTTTGCTTTTGTCAATAAGAGAAACAGTCTAGTTTTAGGCATAGGGCTTTATTGTAACGAACTAAGTGCAAAGTCTAAAGCACATGGTGCAAAAGCATTAAAGATGTGTCCGAATCTACTTTTGCTATTTTAAGGACAGAATATGCTCTGCACCGCGGCACATGGTCTAACAGGGTTGTGCTTATTCTCTTAATGAGTTATGGGTGTGTTTTGAGCATAACGTGCATTAGAGAGACTCGTCTCCCATTCCTTTTAAGAGTCAGTTGTCGCACCATGGTGCATTTGGTACACGGCGGGCTTTGTAAATGGAAAAACTGAATATGCAGTGGTTTTATATTTATGCAGAAAATAATAATTTTTGTAACATTTTAATCATAATTTTTTTTTCCATATGAAGATATTTGTGTATTACTGTACATTCTGTGTGTATTAAGCAATGTGTAAGCATTTGGACTGGCAAAAGCGCATAACTAATATGCTCTGTGCTGGACTTTAGACCATCTTTTTTTTGGTCAATGGCGTGTTCTATTTCAGTTCTTCAAAATAGCAGCGCACCAGCAATGCGCCTTAACACGCCTCCTTTTCAGACAATGTTTTTGCTACTTAACTATGTGGTGCAAAATGTGAAAATGACAGTTGCACTGGTCTGAAAATAGCAACAAATACGCCAAACACATCTTGCGGTGTATTGTGCTGGGTGTATGATAGGACCCAGAGTCTCAGAATGGTGACGCCCACTAGAAGAGTTTGTTATCACTGACTGCAGAGCTTCACTAAACCACTTACAGACCAGCAGCACTCTGCTCTCCAGCTCCTCTAGTTCATTTAGAAAGATCCGGCATAATTCTGCTGTGTTTACTTCTTAATTGTAAAAAGGTCACACAATTCTTAAACCCTTCAGTTAATTTCTAAACCAACAAAAGATGTTAGACGTGTTTATTTTCTTCTGTTTGTGCTCATGGAGTTTGGCTGGTAAGTTTCATTATTAGGTTATTATTTACATCATTTATTTAACATGCACTATTAAACTTATTCGCAGACTAATGTAGTATTCTAATGTAGTATTCACTCATTCATTTGTGCTCATGTTGCATTCATTTTTTTCAGACATATAAAAACTGTATATAACTGTTTCAAAAGAAGTACAGATGCAAGTCTTTGGCTGAGTAACAGTTTGTGTGTGTTTATCAGGTGTGTTTGGTGTTGAAGTGAAGCCTGTGTTGGTGACTGAAGGCGATTCGGTCTCTCTACACATCAGTGTTACAGAAGAAGAGAGAAATAATGAGATCGAGTGGCGGTTTGGAAATGGTTATACTCTCATAGCTAAACTCTTCACAAAGAATAATACGAGCAAATTCTTTGACACGGCTGCTGACGGGAGATTCAAAGGGCGACTGAAGCTGGACCATCAGACTGGATCTCTGACCATCACAAACAGCAGAAGCACAGACTCTGGACTTTATAATGTGATCAGCGAGCATGGCAACCCACTCTTCACATTCAACTGTACTGTATATGGTGAGTAAAGTATTACTTGCAATGTTTCATTTAAATCTTGTGACATCAAACACTCTCGTAATTATAATATTGTGCTATGGAATCATGAAATAAATCTATAAAGTCAGCTTGATCATTTAATACAGTAATTAATTAACCTAAATTTAATTGTAAATATAAAAATATCTTGCAGATATTATAGCTAGGATATTATGTCATCATATTATATTATGTCACACAGGTCGTCTGCCTGTTCCTGATGTCCTCTTCAACTCTTCTCAATGTTCTTCCTCCTTATCTTCATCCCAGAACTGTTCAGTGGTGTGTTCAGTGGTGAATGTGAGCGCTGTGAGTCTCTCCTGGTACAAAGGAAAAAGTGTATTGTCCAGCATCAGTGTGTCTGATCTCAGCATCAGTCTCTCTCTACCTCTGGAGGTGGAATATCAGGATAACAACACCTACAGCTGTGTGATCAACAACACCATCAGCAACCAGACCACTCATCTGGACATCAACACACACTGTCAGCCATGTTCAGGTACAGCAGTGAGCAGAATGGCAGTAGTTCATTTAAACACTGAATACGTAATTATTCTCTTTCTGTCTTCAGGTTATATTTACTGCTTTGGTATTGAAGCTGTTATCCGATTGGTCCTCGCTGCACAGGTGGGCGTGGCTACTGTTGCTGTGCTTATATATGACATCAGAACCAGAAGTCTTCATCTGAAGAGGAGAGGCCAAACATCAGTATCAAACACTGATTAATCGCATGCTCAGAAAGGTAGAGATGCTTATCAATGACCAAACAATTATATAATGCATAGATTATGAAATCCATTTTCATTTAAAGTTATGTGAAGGCAATTTTAACATGCTCACTTATTTTACTTTTTACGTTTTACATATTATTCTCTCTTTGTGTTATCTTGTGCCAAATTGTTTAGTGTCTTTTCCCTTTGGGCTTTGTAATGTCATGGACTGTATGTTTCTCTATAGCTTTTTTTGCAACTTTGTAAGTTATAAGCTGCATCCAGCAAGACTGTTTGTAATTAGAACTATTTCACTCCATTAATCTCTCAGTTTTACTCAGTATTGAAGATCATCATGTACCGTACATGCCACACAAATTACGTTAAATATACATTTTCCTTCAGTGTGTTTTCTGCGTGTCCATAGATCGACATCAAAACTCTTTTAAATGTATTCAGAAACTATTAGGAGCATGTCAGAAATCTGTTGCTTCTGCATGGGTTATTGATTTGGAGTCATTCATCAAAGAATAGGGATGTAACAATATTGTAAATACTGTCATACCGCAATAGTTATTTTTTTCAATATTACCGTAGGCGCATGACTCAATAAAACTATATTTCTGAGAAAAGTTTGCTTAGGCGAATGAAACCACCGGGAGGTAGCGGGAACTACAACTCCCATCAGCCCAGGCGTGGCCATCCTCCTTTGCGGTCTGTTGTTACTACAGATCCAGTAATGCGGAAATGGAGTGTGTTGCTAGTAGCGGGGAAGAAAAAGAGCTGGAAATGATCGAACCTAAAGCGGGTTTTAAATCGGATGTGTGGAAGCATTTCGGTTTCTTTCTAAAAAGATACGAAAAAGGAGAAAAGGTGACAGACAAATAAAAAAAACAGTATGCAGGCACTGCCAGACTGTGGTGAAATATAAGTTGGGGACTAAAAACAGTCATGGGGACTGCAGAACACAGCACACTGTTCAGATTGATGCAGACATTGACTTGTACCGCAAAGAGACCTCTATCTCACTCATGGCTTGTCCTCTCAAGTGGTGGAAAGACAATGCACAATGTTACCCACTGCTGTCAACCTTGGCTAAATCATATCTCTCTGTCCCAGAAACCTCAGTCCCAAATGAGGGGTTTTTTTCTGTTGCAGGGGACATTGTAAATGCCCAGAGATCCCAGCTTTTACCAGATTATAGTTATATGATAATTTTCCTTAAAAACCCATCTCTATCTATGTGAGTGAGTGATTAAATGTTGAATGTGATGAGTTTTAACAATACTAAATTGAAACTTTATTTTTTTATATGGTTTAATAGTTTTTTGTTGTTAAAATTAAAAAATTGAAGTTCCTGTTTTGAAACTTACAGATAGATGGCTAATTTGTATGTCACTGATATGTTCAGTGCTAAGGTAAATAAACACTTTTGGCACTTTTTCCGAGTCTTTTCATTAGTTTTGTTTTTCCTGTAAATTATTCAATAAATACCCTGCCGTGCCATTTATACCGAGGTATTATCGTACCGTGAAATTCTGATACCGTTACATCCCTATCGAAGAATTATAGAGGTAGGGGATAATTTTTTATTTATTTAAAGAAATATATAGAAGTTTTCACGGAAATACAGAAACCGTTTCTACGTTTTTTGTGTAAGCAAGTACTTTAGAAATACTGAAATGTCTGTCAATTTTTTCAAACAATTTTATTGGATTTACCAAAGTCACATGAATGACAAAAACGGCCACATCCATAAGAGAAAGGATGTCACATCCATAACCAAGCTTTTACCTCTTAAATGCAGAAATATTAAATAAAATAAACTCAATCATGTTTCTTCTATAGTGTCAACTCGTATCCTTTTGGTTAACATTATTATCTTTTGGGTTGTGCAGTTTAATTCACAGACTTTTTTGGTCACATTCATAACGCATGTTTATTTTCCTTATTTAAAATACAAAACATGTTTACAGATTGATATTTTTCTGATTCTTTAACTGTACGGTGAGTGGTTCTGGAAAATATAAACAGATGTTTTAATATAATGTCAACATACACTTTCTATGTGAATTTATGTTTTAGGTTTTTACTGCTAATGGCACATCCATAACACTGGAATTTCTTATATACTATAGTAAAATATAACATAATATATCTAAAACAATATATAAATAGCCATGTCTGGAGGAAAGCTTATTGGATCCCCTGCTGATTTTTGTATGTTTGCTCACTGACAAAGAAATGATCAGTGTATAATTGTAATGGTAGGTTTATTTCATCTGTGAGAGACAGAATAGCTACAAAAAATCCTGAAAAACTGCTATAAAAAAAGTTATAAACTGATATGCATTTTAATGAGTGAAATAAGTATTTGACCCCTTTGCAAAACTTCAGATCATTAGTTTAATCCCAGAGGTCAGGTATTTCTTGTAGTTGGCCACCAGGTTTGCACATCTCAGGTTTGCATTTCAGGAGGAATTTATTTTATTTTTTGCATATTGGGTAGCAGTGTTGGGGGTAATGCATTACAAATTACATCATAATATTACTTAAAATTAAGTGGTAATATTTGAGTTACTTTTTTAGCTTACTTCACTTTTAAAAAAAATAGTTTAATAGGGAAATGTCCTCGAGCCAGGAATCGAACACGGGACGCCCTGACATGCTACTGCACCATATGTCGACGTGCTAACCACTAGGCTTTTGCGCCAACCAATTGGGCGGTTTTGAATTTGATTGTGTGGTTTTGCTACGGCGACTTTACCTGCTTTCGTTCATCTCTACAGAACCAAATCAACTCTGCCCCCCGGGGTTAAACCGGTTATGATCTCCCAAAGAGATGCCATCCCCTCCGTCCTCAACTTTAGAACCGCTTATGATAGCATTCGGATTTCTGTGTGGTTGTTTTTCCATTTTGGCGGGGTTCGGATAGTATTTGGGCTGGAATTAGTCAGCGGCAACACTGAATTATTAAAACAATTAGTGGCAACACTGATAGTAGCAAACACATTGCTTTCAACTTTCATTAATCTGTATATTTGACACGTCAGGAAGTTCTTAGAAGGTAACAATATTCAATTTGTTTTGAAGGTTTGGTTAGGAATTTAGGTTATACAGTGTGTTGTTAAATGCAGAGCTCCTCTATTTAAAAAAAAGGAAAATAGCCTGTAAGTTCGGAAAGAGATCAAGCCTCAGGCAGGTATGAAAAAAGTAACTGAAAAGTAATGTGACAAGTTACTTTCCACGCTAGTAACGTTATGTAAAGCAACTAGTTACTTGTTTTGTAGAATAACAATACTTTAATGCATTACTTTCTAAATTAACTTTCCCCAACACTGGTGCGTAATGCAAATGTTGACCGTTCTTCATGGCATGCCTGACTGGTCTCTGATTAATTGTACCAGTTGGTCAATTAGAAACAAAGGAGCAGCCATTTGTGGTGGTGTCTGAAACCTTTGTCTATGTTCAGAAGTGCATTCAATCAATCCCACAATCCACCATAACAAGTGTTAAACCAGAATACTCATAATGTGCTGTGAGTTAGCCTGCCAATTGAATTTCTACAAGCTGGCATCCACAGTGTAAGCCTATTAGTTTCAAAATAAATTAATAAATCAATCATCTGTGTTTCTCTGGAAGTTCTTTATTTTGTTTTTTCTCTCAGTTGAGTTTTCAATGGAAAATACTGTGTTGTAAAAGCGTGCCATGATAAAGCAGCAACTACTAAATAACTCAAACTCAACCACAAATACTTTCAAAAAATTTTAAACTGCTGGCAAAGCACAACACGTATGTATGCCTGTTTGTGTGTGCTTGCATATACGGCCTTGTGACATGGTGATATTTGCTTTACTTGTGACTGTTCATAATGGTTTGGGTCGTCAATGCCTCAGCAAAAGAGCACTTAAAAGTGTTAATCCGTTAAACGGTAAAGAGTGGATGAAAAAAAAAATGTAAACACTGAATTTTAATGGTGTTCTGCTAAATAAAAAACCACTGAGGTCAGTGCTTCACAGAACTGCATAGCTAAAAATGTCGAAAGATCTGCAGTTACTTCCGATTTTCAGCATGTGTGAGAGAGATAAAGTGTGAAAACCAGAGTAGAAACTGTCCCTTGCTGTGGAACGTTCACTTTAAAACTGAACAATGACATTATTCAGATCTCATTTACAGGATGTCCGCGGAGTCTTAAAGAGTATTAAAAATTGATGAATCAATGTAGAGAAATTTAAGGTGCTTAAAGTCTTAAAAGCTATTTTGAAAGGTATTAAATTTTATATTATTTGTATTTATGCAATGTATGGTTGTAGTTAAAGTTTGCCTGAATAAATCTGTGAATATCAGGATGCTGTGAAATGAAATCTATAGATTTGACATTATGCTGCTTTGTTAATTGCAGTAATCAAAACAACACCAATATTTCTGCAGTTCTATAGGCACCAACCTGCTAAATTGGCTAGATTTACTAGATTTTTATTCAGTACAGTCTCGCCAGTGTTTCTGGTTGAAAAGTGGTTATAAATGTATGCAAAAAGTCTTAAAAAAGGTCTTAAAAGGTATTAAATTTCACTCTCTGATTCCTGTATACACTCATGATTTATACTCATTTTTATATAGTGCATCAGTCAGAATATTTTCAGATTGTGCCATTTAAACATCTACTAGTTTACAGACAACACATCTCTACACTGTAAAACCCAATAAGTTAAGGTAACTCAAACCGTTTGAGGAAACTGATTGCAACAAACCATTTACATTAAAAAAACTAATCCTAATGAGTACTGTGAACTTAATCCATTTGAGTAATTGAAGCAATTTGAGCTCAGTAAAACACTATAAATAAAGAGAACTCAAACCAACTGAGAACTGTAAAACTAAGTTAAGGCAACTCAAACCTTTTGAGGAACCCGATTGCTACAAACCATTTGAGTTAAAAACAAAGGTAACACTTTACAATAAGGTCCATTAGTTAATACATTTACTAACATGAACTAATCATGAACAACACATGTACAGCATTTATTAATCATAATTGAACATTTACTAATGCATTATTAACATCCAAGTCTATGCTTGTTAACATTAGTTAATGCATCATGAGTTAACATGAACTTACAATGAACTACTGTATTTTCATGAACTAACGTTAACTAACATAAACAAATACAGTAGTAAATGTACAGTTTATTGTTTGTTCTTTAGTAAATGCATTAATTAACTAAAGTGTGACTAAAACAAAAAACAAAACTAATCTATATGAGTACTGTGAACTTACTCCTTTTTATTATCTTCATACTGAATGTTACTCTGTGTTATGTACAGCAATTTGGTCAGTCTTGTGGCTGTTTTTAAATGTGCTTTATAAATAAATGAACTTAAACTTGAATATGATGTGTGCTTGTGAGGAGATGATCAATAATATTTGCTATTTGTGATTGGATTGGATAATATTGTGGCTCATCAGCATCATTGAGAAAGGATAAAGTGAATGGTGAATGTGCTAGAGGAGTAATGTTCTTGTGAACTGAACCATAAAGACAAGACGAGAGACAAGTGTTCGTGTGGAGACATTTTAACTATAATTACACTGTGGTTTGATACATTTAAGAAATGGACACCAGTATATGATTAAACTGAAACTCTGACTGAGGAGCTTAGAGTAAAAAAAAAAAAAAAAAGCTGCAGCTTCTGCTTTTCTGCACACAAACAGGCGACAGAGAAAGATAGAGTGTGAAAACCTGTGGAGAAACTGACCAGTGCTGTGGAAAGTTTGCTTTTAGCATTGTACAGTGACATTGAGATCTGCCCTTTTAAAACACTGTCTATGATATTATATCTCATGTGTTTGAAAAAGGAATGCTAGTTAATAAAGGCCAATCTGAAATCTGAAATTGCCAGCACTGCTGTTGGAAAACAATGAACCTCCGAACATAATCTAAAACTCTGTGTTGAATGAAGAGAAATAGGTGAGAAATCAACATGGTTACTGATGATTTCTAGCTTGATTGCTCAAGTGATTGTTGTGAAAATTAATGTCATTGTGTGATTGACTAAAAGTATAAAGTAGGCATACTGTACAGTATCTCTACACTCTCAGAAATAAAGGTATGCAAGCCGTCACTGGGGTGGTTCCTTTTCAAAAGGTACAAATTTATAACTAAAAACGTCCATATTAATATATCAAAGGTACATATTAGTACCTAAAAAAAGTACAAAAGTGTTCCTCTTGATTTTTAGGTACTAATATATACTTTTGAGGTACCAATATGTACCCTTTTAAGTACAAACGGCTCACATACCTTTATTTCTGAGAGTGTACTAAACTCCCTGCTGAAGCGCCAACTAGTGGCGGAAGATAGAAAATAGCTTTTTTGCAGACTTTAAAAGTTAATATATAAAAATGATATTCCCATTATTCAAGCAGATATGTGATCATCACTGCAGGATGCTGTTTTTGATTTCAAATTATATTAGAGCTGTTTATTGACAGTAAATATTAAAGTATGAACTCAAATAAAAGTACTTAATTTTACATTTGTAACACAATAACAAGTAAAATTACTGTCAAAACAGTAGTTAAGTAGAAATACAAAGATACAAAGCACTTTAAAAAAAGTATTTTTAAAAAAACAAAGTCTGATTTTGTTTACACTTTTTTTCTTTTTTTCCTTTTTTCACTTCATGGTTTAATTATTCATCACAATACTAGGATGTGATCAAAGTAAACATGGTTGATTTATAATTTCACGACAACTTCAAGGGAAGATGTGTTTATAGACATTACCATGAATAGTAAACAAAATGGTCCTTGAAAGTGATTTAGAGCATCTCTGTGATCACAAGGGCCTGTTTTATAAAGATAAAAGCCTTTGAATATTTTCCCAGACACATTTAGCTGCTAGATGTTTGTCAGATAACATTTCTATGTTTTTACAGTGTAAATTGTTTTTTGAAAGATGCTTATAATAAGCTGTTGTTTGTTTACCTTTAAGCTCTGCTTCCTTCAGAAGCTTGACGCGTCGTGTATGCACGTGAAGGAGCGCCAACACACACATATCTTGACATGCGAAAGTGTTCCTTCATATGTTTTCATCGAAGCTGTTCACAATACTGATCCATCCACAGAGTTTGTGATGTAGTCAAATGTTTACAAATACAAGCGCAGCCATTTATAGCTCATTTCAGGTTAATGACGTCAAAATTTACCGTTATTTTGGAATAGATGTGTGAATGGTCTTTTCCGGGAAAACTCCATAACATCCTCACCTGTGTGAACAGCACTTTTTTGAATTAACTGGTAAAGTCGTTCTGGAAATTTTCCGGATATTTACCGGTATCACTGTGTAAAAGTGGTTATTGACGATTTGACACAATCCAGGATCGTTTTGTTCTTCAAGACTGATCCGAGAGTTGTTGTCATAGTGTTGCGTGTGGCATTCACTCCTCCCCTTAATGATTATGTTCAAGTGATCTTGTTTGTCTTTTTCCCTTTTCAGTTTTCTATTGGTTGATTTGGTGGCATCAGGCCTTTAAACCAGACGGAAGCGGACTTCTCTCGATTCCTCCACGCCACCAGTTTTTGACGGCTTTATTGTTGTGTTCTCCTTTATGCTTTCCATTTGATGTTTGTTTGGTGTGGGGAGCTCCAACCTGCCTTAGGTTTGTTTGGTTGTTCTTTATTAAGTTGTTGGGCTCCCCATCTCTTGTCAATTTGGATTGTTTTGCTGGTTATGTTAACAAATAATTTAGCTGGAGCACTTTGGCCGTTGTTTATTTATGTTAGGTATATTTGGGTCACAAGTCATATTTAAGTTAGGGACGTAACACATAGCAACAGTCCTGGAAGGTTAAACCTGCTCGGGAGCAAACTTACGTCATATACTGTAAACGGGATTAGATCAGGTAATTTCAAGCAAAGGTAATACTGAATGTATGTACCGAATTCTGATAACCTATAAATTATATACACTTGGTAAAGTAGTTAAAAAAAGTTTATATATATACACATTTAGTATAACTTATAATAATTAATATTATTTAATTTTAAATAATTAATAATAGTTATGTTTACATATACGTTTAAAAATATATAAATAAAACTTATGCAATCTGCACTCCAAAATAAAAGTAAACTAGGTGGTTCCAGCAAAGCATAATAAATAATACAAATTGAAAAATGCCCTAAATTGTCAATATTCAACAATAAAATGCTATTTAATTTCACATGTCATAACATAAAAAGCTGAACATTTTAGTTGCAAACGAAAGAGCAGCTTGGTATTATTGTTTTAGTCTGCAGCCTGCAGTTTCTGATTTCTTTTCTTGCGGACGTTTTCATACACGGCCTCCGTCTGAGATTTCTGTAAGAAACAAAAGCACAAACATGATCAAGAAAAAATAAAATACTGAAAATTAATGACAACATTAATCTGATCAACATTTGTTTCTGTCTTATAGGCTCTTTGAAATGTCGCAGAACAGATGCTGACGTCAGTCTCTAAGCTGAGGATGGTTAACATTTTGCACAAAAGCAACACAAAGCTCCTTGCAGCAGCTCGTCTACAAAGCAAATAACGGCATTTAAGCTTCATGACACTGTGCATCTTCATCAAATCATCAACCGCAGATGCAGTTTGCTTCACACCAGACTTCAGCACAACCGCTGTTAACAACTGACTTTCCCATCATAGGACTAAAGTGAACCCATATGAAACACTATAGTCATTCAGAATAAATACTATAGGCGGGAGTGGAGATAAAAGTAATGCAGGACAACTTTAGTCACCAATTAAAGTTTTACTGAGAGAGTTGATTAACAAATTTTAAATGTGTACAACAAACACAAAAAAAAAAAAAACAGTGGATAACCAGCTAACTCTTTAATGTATACTGATTTTTCATTGTTTGTTTATTAGTGTTAGTGGTAAAAGTGCAATATAATTATATACAAAATCATTATATACATAAAAAAAAAATCGAGATTTTGTCGTTATCATTAATCAGTCTGAGAGCCAGATTTACACTGAGGTGCAAACTTTACTTGTCCTTTTGATAAAGCTGACGGTTGGGCCAGAGTCTGCACACTGACCTTCTGATGCACTTTACACACACAACTTCAATCAGCAAACTTCAATCACACTAACTGACTGCAACAGCCTTACCTTTTCCCGTCTTGATGGTTTGCACAAAGCTGAATGAGTTCTGTCTTCTTCCTGAGCCATGACTGCATGAATTAATAATCACATTATTTTCAGTCTTTACAGATCTGTCTCTCAAAATAAAATGATAAATATTCGTGCGGATGAATCGCTCGCACTGCTGACCTGTATTTCTTTGTTTCTTGCAGACGTAGTACATGCTGACTGCAACGACAATCAACACTGATCCAGCAGCAGAAATCAGCACCAGGTAAAATAAATATTGTTCCTCATCTGTAATCAACAAAGTGGGCTGTTATTACTGAGGGGCACCTTGATGTCTTATAGAAATCGACAATGAAGGAAAAAAAAAAAATATTGAAAATGCAAATCAATTTTATCTTGACATCTATTTGACATCCACACATTGATGCTCTTTTAAACACCAAAATAACAACACAAATGTATTATAATTTAAGAAAAGGTTTGTCTGAAAGCTTCAATTACAAATTTGCACTGGATTTTGTGTCTCTACGTTGAATGTAAACCACATTGATGTCAAAACTATGTCAAATTGACATCTAACATTGGCATTAGAAAACATCTAAAATTGATTACATCAATTTTAACATATTTTTTATGCTAATTATTACCAGTGGGCACCTTGATGTCAAAACGACACCAAACTGACTTCGATTTCATGTCAAATCCTTGATTTAATAACTTGAGAAATGACAATACAGGAGAGTGGCGGGAGATGGGTGTGAAAAACGACTCCCGTAAAAAAACAGATGTTGGCAGGTATGCATCTGCACATCAATGACCATTTGACAACTAAAATAACAACAATATTATAATATAAGAACATTTTGTTCATCTGAAAGCTTCAATTACAAATTTACAATTTACACTGGGTTTTGCATCCTTAATTTTGCAGGTAAACTACATTGATCTTGAAACAACATCAAATCATCATTTAGCATTGGCATCAAAAACGCATTAAAAACGCATCAAATATCTATTAAAAAAATGCATTGATTTGATGTCAAAACCTTGACGTCTATATGATATCCACACATTGATACCAATTTGATCACCAAAATAACAACATAAAAAGTATTATACTATACTAAAGCTTGTTCATCTGAAACTTTAATTCTAAATTATAAACATCCCAAAACAACATCAATTTGACATCTAATATTGGTGTCAAAACACATCACAAATCGATTACAGGACAGTCATGGAATTGATTTTTGACGTGTTTTTGATGCCAATTATTAGTAGCGTGCACTTTGTTTTTAGAACAACATCAACTTCACATTGTCAAACAAAACAAAAAGAAAATGTCAAAAATGCAAATCAATTTAATGTCAAAACCTTGACATCTATTTGACATCCACACATTGATGACCACCAAAAAAAAAAAAAAAAAGGGACCATCTCGTAATTGATTTTTGACTTGCTTTTTGATGCCAGTTATTACATGCAGGCACCTCGATGTCAAAACTACATAAAACTGATATTGACACTGATGTTAATTATTTTTTTTTTGCAAAAATGCAAATCAATTTTATATTAAAATTGACGTCTATTTGACATCCACACATTGATGCCCTTTTGACCACCAAAATAACAACAAAAAAGTTTTATAATATAAGAAACGTTTTGTTCATCTCAAAGCTTCAATTCCAGATGACAAATTTGCACTGCTACATGCAAATTTGCATCACTACATTGCATATAAACTACCTTGATGCGAAAACAAACATCAAATTGTCATCTAACATTGGCGTCAAAAAAGCCAAAACAGGATATTTGAGCTGCTTTTTGATGCCAGTTATTACCAGTAGGCACATTAATTTCAAAACAACATCAAAATAACATTGACACTTATTTAAAAAATATATATATATATATATTTATTTGACGTCTATTTGACATCCACAGATTGATGCCTTTTTGACCACCAAAATAACACCACACAAGTATTTTAATATAAGAAATGTTTTTGTTCATCTGAAAGCTTCAATTACAAATTAAAAGTTTACACTGGGTTTTACATCCCTACAATGCTTGTAAACTACCTTGATCTTGAACCGACATCTAATTGACATCTAACAGTGGCATTAAAAATGTGTCAGATCAGGACTGTAATTGATTTTTTATGTGTTTTTTTAATGCCAGTTACTTTTAAAGGGCACCTTGATGTCAAAACAACATCCTAACTGACATTGACAATGAAAAAAAACACATAAAAATGCATTGAGTTGATGTTAAAATCCTTGACGTCTATTTGACATCCACAGATTGATGTTCTTTTGACCACCAAAATAGCAACACAAATGTATTATAATATATTAAAAAAAAGTTTTATTAATGTGATAGCTTGAATTCCATATTACAAATTTGCAGTGGATTCCGGATCTCAAAATGACATCAAATTGACATCTAATATTGGTGTCAAACAACACATCACAAATCGACTACAGGACAGTCATGTAATTGATTTTTGATGCCAATTATTAGTAGCGGGCACTTTGTTGTCAAAACAACATCTAATTGACATTGAGGTCAAACAAAACAACAACAAAACATAACAAAAATGCAAATCAATTTGATGTCAAAATGTCAATTAGATGTCTATTTGAAATCCACACATTGATGACCTTTTTACCATCAAAATAACAACACAAAAAGTATATAAGAACCGTTTTGATAATCTAAAAGCTTAAATTCCATATTACAAATTTGCACTGGATTTTGCATCCCTACATTGTATGTAAAGCACTTTGATGTCAAAAACGACATTAATGTGATATCTGCTGTAACATTGGCGTCAAAAACATGTCAAAACAGGACTATCCCGTAATCAATTTTTGACATGTTTTTTGATGCCAACTATTACCAGCGATAATGTCAAAACAACATCAAAATAACATTGACACTGATGTAAAACTGATGTCAAAACCTTGACGTCTATTTGACATCCACACATTGATGCCTTTTTTACCACCAAAATAACAACACAAAAAGTATTATGATATAAGAAATATGTTGTTCATCTGAAAGCTTCAATTACAAATTTAAACTGGGTTTTGCATCCCGATATTGCATGTAAACTACCTTGATCTTGAACTGACTCTAAATTGACATCTAACATTGGCATCAAAAACACGTCAAAGATCAGGACTATAATTGCGTTTTGATTTGTTTTTGATGCCAATTATTAGTAGAGGGCACTCTGTCAAAACAACATCAACTTGACAACAAAACAACAAAAAACATGTCAAAAATGCAAATCAATTTGATGTCAAAACCTTGACGTCTACTTGACATCCACACATTGATGCCCGTTTTGACCACCAAAATAACATCACAAAATGTATTATAATATAAGAAACGTTTTGTTCATCTTAAAGCTTTTTATCGGATGCCAGCTTGATGTATTATTTTGTTACTGAGACATTGGCTACGAAAACATACCTGGACATTGCTGGCAGAGTGTGTTGATGTCCATATGTGTGGTCTGGTTGCTGATGGTGTTGTTGATCACACAGCTGTAGGTGTTTTTATCCTGATATTCCACCTCCAGAGGTAGAGAGAGACTGATGCTGAGATCAGACACACTGATGCTGGACAATACACCGTTTCCTTTGTACCAGGAGAGACTCACAGACCTCACATTCACCACTGAACACAGCACTGAACAATTATACTGTGATGATGAACACTGAGAAGAGTTGAGGACAGGAACAGGCAGAAGAGCTAAAAGCAGAGAATATATATATATTTTTTAGGTGTAGATTGAGGTTAGTGATTTTGTTGAATGCTGTGGCAATCAAAATTTAATTATTTAACTGCGCTTTTCAGCCTCACATTTACACATTTTAAAGAATGGAAAGTTTGGCTCAGATATTTAAAACACCCGATGCAGATTAACAAAAATAACAAGTAGTATCTGATTAAAGTGCTCTTTAATTCTGATGTCGGTGCGTATTGGAATATCTTATATGTGATCCTCAACTATTAAATAAGTATTAATTTGTCAATATTGATATTTAGACATTATTTGAAAGCTAAATAATAATCTTATTGGTTTATGGCTAGGACTTGTTTCATTTGTCACTTTGCATAAATGACTAGAAATAAAATGGCAGTAGAAATGGTCAAAATACTTGCTTCGCAAACCACTATGTTTGTGACAATACATTTGACATAAAATAATATAAATAATGCTGGAACAAGCTGTTTTGAATAGTTAAAAATGAATGAAGGTCAATAAGACAACACATTTAAGTTACAATTTGAAAAATAAGTTAGATAAAATATGACCCTAAACCACAAATTCAATCTTAAGTTGCACTTTTTTATTCTTGTTAATGGAAAAAAATGCATTGTATGGGTCAAAACGATTTTTTTTTATGTCAAAAATTATTAAAATATTACATCATCTATAAAGACATTTTGCAAATTCCTTACCATAAATGTTTTAACTTATTTTTTGTTTAGTTATGTGCATTGCTAAGAATTTAATTTGGACAATATTTAGAGTTTTCAGAAACCTGATATTCCAGATTGTCCCTCAACCAAATATTGTACAATCATAAAAAAATACATCAATAGAAATTAAATCTATTTAGCGTTTAGATGATGGATAAATCTTAATAAAAAAAAAATTTGACAGATGACCGGTTTTGTAGTTTAATAGTAACAAATTATTAAACATTTCACTAACATAAATATGTGAATATATTTGTGGCATAATGTAGATTACCACAAAAACATTACAAGATTTGAATAGTATGAATGCTTATGTGGTTTTAATGTAAAACCAATTCTTAAGCAAGTTCATTCATTTATTCATTTTCTTTTTGGCTTAGTCCCTTTATTAATACGGGTTCGCCACAGCAGAATGAACTGCCCCTTAACCAAGTTATAAAGTTGCACTTAATTTTACGGTAAACACTTTGACACCAAAAAATCTAGAGCAAATCTAAATTCTAATCCAAACTATAATGTTTTAATAATTTTGTTTTTTATTAAATTATAAGCTCCACACCCTGGAACATATATTGCCTCATGTTGCACCACGGGCACATTTTTGTGAAAAGGCAAAAATACATTGTATGGAAAAAAAAAAAATATATATATATATATATATATATATATTTTTTTTTTTTGTAACAAAAATCTTAAGATATTCTTGAATCTAATTGTATGACTAGTAATGCGTATGGATAAGAACTTGAACCTCAGATTGAGATTTCTTAAACAGTTTCTTATATAGTTGCACAGTATCTCAATCGTCAAAAATAATTTATGAAAAGCATATTTATTCAGCTTCCGGGAAATGTTAAAATCTCAATGTCAAAAAAATCTATACTTATGACTGATTTTGTGCTCCAGGGTCAAATATCTATTTTTCAACCACTTAACCTTCATTTCTGCCACTTTTACTTAAAACAAAACCAGAGGCATATTGGAGGTTTTTGAATAATATTTTCGATAATACAGAATTTAGAATGTAACTGCCACATAACTGACAGAAATTCTAATTGAAGCTTGCTGCGTAACTGTGGAAACGAAAATGGAATCCAGTGTAAAGTTCTAGAACTCACTCAATGGTGACAGTTGAGAAATTGTAAACTTTCCAGTTAAAAACATTAACCAACATTGTTACAAAGTTTGTTAAACCCAAGATACTTCTTTAATGAAGCATATATATGTGAATGTTTGGACTAGTAAACTCTCCACTCACCATAGACAGAAACTCTGAATGTTTTTGAAGACCACTTTACTCCGCTTAACTGTTGTTCATAACGTCCAGCATGTTCAGTTGTGATGTTAATGATGGTCAGAGATCCAGTTTGATTGTCCAGCTTCAGTCTGTCTCTGAAACTCCCATCAAGAACATCATCATATGTGGAGAAGATTCGAGAAGCTCTACTGATTTCAGCAATCAGAGATAATTTAGCTCCATATTTCCACAGTATGTCTTCATCTTCTCGTATCTTTGTAACAGCAGAGCTTAGAGTGACTGAATCTCCCTCCGTCACTGACTTCACTTCATCAACACCAGACACACCTGCAGAACATCAAGAGGTGAAATAATGGGTTGTTTAAACCCAATGCTGGGTCAAATAGGAACAAACTCAACAGTAAAGTTAAAATTGTCATTTAAATAACATTTTAATATTAAACTAATGGTTGGATTAAACCATGTGTGACCCATTGTTGGGTTAAATCAACTCATCGCTCTTTAATGTATACAGATTAAAGCATTTGTAACAATGTGATTTGAGGACAATCGGAAAGAGAACAAAAAAAAAGTATATTTGGTTCACTGCTCACTAACAATGTAGGGTTGTTTTATTTCGACGTTGGGTCAAATATTCACAAACTAAACAGTTAAAAATAAAACATAACCCAAATTTTATTCAGAACTAATTTGAGTTTAAAGAGTTGTGTTAAAGCAAATTCAAGTCCCCTAATCTGAATACTAGCAGCTTTATTTCCTCACGAGGACAGCAAATATTTCTCGCTGAAGAAATCCTGGGTTGTAAATATGAACCCAATATTTGGGTAATTTTTAAATTTAAATTATATTTTTAATGACAGTTTACTCAAATATAAATACAGCTTCTTAAAAATGCTGCGTTGATTTAACCTAGAGCTGTGTGAGAAGCTGTATTTACATTTACATTTATGCAGATGCTTTTGTACAAAGCGAGAAATTACCAGAAAAACAACATGTGCTGAACGCTCTCAAAAATCTTGACAATTTACCCAAATGTAAATACAGCTAATTAAAAATGCTGGGTTGGTTTAATCCAGTGCTGTGTTAAATGTGGACAAACCCATATTTGGCCCATGCATTTGGTTAAATCAACTTAGCATTTTTAATAAGCTGTATTTACATTTACATTTATGCAGATGCTTTTGTACGAAGCGAGAGCTTACCTGATAAACAACATGCGCTTTACACTCTCAAATGCTCGGCTGGTGTGGCCCAACATTGGGTCAAATATAGACAAACCATCATGATTTCGTGGGGAAGTTATTAAAACAAACTTTTATAAAATTATCAAAGTGGCTAATTCGTACCAATTTCTGTTATTGCGTTCATATGAAAATGTGCAGATTTTATTATTTTTATTTTAAGCAGACGCACACCCAAATACCACCCCAGACCCTACTCCTTTATAGGGGGTTGAGCAAATCAATCTAAAACGTACAAATGAGATATAAATTAATATAAATTAGCCATTTAAAGCAAACAAAAAGTTATGAATAGCCGTGAGATTGCATATAAACTCAAAATTTTGGTTATAAAATGTCATTTAAATTAAATTTAACAGTAAAAAATTAACACATTGTTGTGGTTGTTCATGTTTGACCCAACATTAGCTTAAAACAACCCAGCATTTTAGAGTGCAGATGCAGTGGCAAGTCTTGGTAGTTTAGCATTCGTTTTTTTTAACCAACAAACAATGTACTGACGAAGAACATACTGATATATTTATAATGAAATGAAAAGCACTATCGTTGGAGGATCAAATGTTGACTTATTTTTTAACTTACCAGTCAGACGGCACCAACACAAAAAGAAGAAAACAAACATCTGAAACATTTTCTCCATCAGTTCAGGTGAGCAGTTTGATCTACTGAGACTGTCTGCTAAAAAAACAACAACAGCTCTGTTTGAACCCGCCCACACTTGAACCTGACCCCCTCCTAACGCGCACACACAAACACATATGTGCTGTTTGAATGCATGATGTCATCTAACATGTAAATGTTCTTCTGCCTCTAATTATAAAAAATTATTAGATAATTAACTCAATGTTGGGTCAAATATGGACAAACACAACATTCATTGACATCTGTTAACTGGAAAATAATCTTTACCATATGATAAACACCATTTAACATGTTTACCATTAGTTTAAAACTCATCTCATCAGTAGCAACTGCATTAACCATTTAGCACCCTCCTTTACATGATTAAATAATTATTTTTTGTTGTTGTGAATGCCTTAATTGGTTTAGCATCTCAGACCAGTCTTAAGGTGACATTAGCAGCTCATCTGACTTAAACTGAAACCTGTGGTCTGTTTTCTGCAGAAATTGGGTGTGATCTACATGGACGAACAGTGAGTGGTTGAGAGTGGCCATTTGATTTATGTATGTAGTTTGTAGTTGAAGAGCTACTTTGTTTTTTTTCTGTTATGCACCACACATCATTACTTTCCTCCTGCATAGTACAACTTTACAATCCAATCAAATTAATTCATCAAACATTGAAAATCTAAGATAAAGTTTTTACCCATGACGTCTTGTATTCTCTGATTAGTAGAGTATTTATGGACACACAAATTGTTGGAATATAGAGCCAATTCCATGTGTGTTCAATAAGAAAAAATCAGGAGAAGGTTTTCTTCAATGTCAAAAAAATTTGTTATTTATTAGATACAAATGAATAATTTGATGCTCTGTGTTACGTTACCCCAATGCAATACAAGAATTACATTCAAGAGGTTCACAACTAACTTACATTTCCCTGACTCCAGCATATATACACAACTGTATACAACTAATATTAACAGTTTTGGTGTATCGTCACTTATTAGTCATTCTACAGTCATTTGGCTCTTGTACCCCAATCATACTTCCTCTTTCGACAACCCTTCTCTTCATACCAGAACTGAACAGTTAAAGGTGCAGTAGGTGATTGTCTTCAGAAGCAGGATTGGTGGTTGGTGCGGTGGATGGCGGAGGGGTATTGCGGATGAAAGTGAGCGGAGCGGGGGAGTCGCAGACAAAAGTGAAGAGGATCACGGTGAAAGTGAACAGCGGACTGGAGAGGAAGGTGGTTGAGGAGGGGGATTGGTAAAATGAGGATAAATAGCATGCAAGTATGGCTTAGAAATGTGTAATAATGAGTGTAATTCCTGCACGCTGCCGGACAAGCTTTAGCTTTAGCTCAATACATGAGAGAGGGTTCCGCTGTCATTTTTAAGGTGCGCGTTCATGTTTTCAGGGGAGGGACTGTGTTTCAGAGATTTATGCTAACAGGCTAGCATTGTGGCAGATCACCTACTGCACCTTTAAGTGTATCTTTAATACATTTCATAACTTCTACACACATCCAGCTCTTTGGCACATGTCTACACTTCTTATTAGACCGCAGTCTGGAGCAAGGGTGTAGTGACACAAATGACCATTTTGTCACTTGAGGTGTTGTAGGGTTGTTTCTGACGCGTGAGAGCTCAACAAACGAATCATCCTCCAAATACTGTTTATCAGATTTATTTTTTGCACAGACAGTTCTTATGGCACAATTTCCACTTACAGTCTGGTATATAAATGCTCATAAAATCACATTGAATGCCTCCATAAAGCTCTTTCAAACACGGTCAAAAAATGTTGTGCTTCCCTCTAATTACACACCTGTTGTTCTAAGTCTTTGTCTACCTATATACTCCTCCAAACCCACATTCCACCCAGTGGTCAAAAACAGCATTACAACAAACATAATGGCTCTTACAAAGGGCAACCACACTATTTATTCTTATTCTGCTATTTCTCTCTTGTCAGCAGTTCCTTCTAAAAAGTATGCAATACAGTAAAAAAGAAGTATGCCTGGTCAATATATGGTATCATACAAAAGAAAAATATTGATTAATCTGTTGTAAGACTAAACATTTAAAAAGTAATAAAACACATTTTTTTTCTCTCCACAATATATTGATCAAAACAAACTTTTATTTTGGATATAATTAATCACCGCAAATTTTTGCCCAGTAATATTTATTTTCTTTACCTTTTTTACTAAAGTGAAATTTATATTAATCATTGTGCTTAACAAAAACAATGCTGATTAAATTGTAACAACTGAAATAATTGTTATGAAGACTCAATGTTCAAAAGTTAAAAAAGGGGGAAATAGTGCCAGCCTTTTCTCTTAAAAGGAAAATCTGTCATTGACTTAAATCTGTTTGACTTATTTGAACACAATATCTTCTTTTAAGTACAAAAAATAGAAAATATTTTTAAATAGGAAACAGAAAATAGAAAACATCTCGTTTACTGTACCATGAAATGCTTCTTTACTAAACGCTTGTCGACTTTTTTGTACACTGTGGCCATCGTGTGGTTAAAAAAAGGTATAGCACACACCTGTTGGAAGTTCTGTAATTAATTTGTTCTTTAATTTAAAAAATATAATTAATAATTGTAATCACACACAAAAGATGGGCCAGGCTTAGAAAACAATCTGAGAGTTAAGATGAATAAAACTTGTGTTTAGAATTTTATGCCCTACATTTATTGTTATTATTATCATTTTATTTTTATTAAATTTTTTACAAATTCTTTAAATTTTGTTGTTAAAATCTTAGTAAGTATCTTCTTTAAACTACATTTTTGTATATATTTTTGTCAGGTTGAAACCTGTGGACCAGCTTAATGGATCTCATTTTACAAATTTGACATTCATATCAAACTGAATTAATTCATAATTTAATATGATCAAAACCAGGATTTTGGTGAACTGGATGTTCTTGATTAGTGGAATGTTTTTCCCTACAATGATTAAATTTCATATCTGATTTTTCATAATTCCTGCAATTATTAAACTTATTTATGATGTATTAGAGGTAGCATATATTAAACTGATAAAATAATCAGATTAATGA